GCGCAGTGCGGGGGCCCGATTCAGGAAAGCATATTGCCTACCCTCGAGGCGTTTTCAGCGACAATCATCGACCCACGCCTAGATTGACACGGCCTCACTACTTAGCTTTAGAAAGGATTTATGAGCCTGGGGTCAAAAGGAGCCTAAACCCAAAGTCCCCGTCACGACCGACGCCTTAGAGAGAAGCCGTGGCCTACCTCGCATGCGTCCAAGCGACAACTCGTGTCGCGGCGACAAGTGGTAGTAGACACGTCCCTACGTCCCTGTTCATGGACACAAAAATGTGGTCCAACGCCACCAGCCACACGCCCCTTTTGTAGTTAAACAGTTGCAGCTACAGTCGACTGCGGTCATGACGATCGTCATGACCGCATGCAGCTTCATCCGAACCAAAATTGTCGGCCCTAAGATCAACTCCCGGGCGGGGCAAATTTGTTTTTCTTTGTCGTTTTTTGTCACCCGTTAGGCAGGACCGAGCTCAGATCTCGGCCCCGGAGGAGCAAGCTGGTAGCCGAGCGTATTAAAGCGTTATGGTTGGCAGATCGTGGGGATGGTCGGTAGTTCGAACCCAGTCCGCGATCATTTTTCCTGCTCTGCTGGCCAAGTGTCTTCGGGCGTCAGTCATAGCTGAGATCTGCATTTCACCGAAAGTTGTGCTCTGAATGTGTCGTTCCGTCGTGGCCAAGTCGGTAGCGTCCGGGCTGGGTATGAATTTGGTAGCTGGTTCGAATCTCGGCCGGGTGGTATTTTTCGCGCTCCGCTGGCCGGCCATGACTTTACAGCCGTGCGACACCGGCCGGTACGCAAACAGTCGCTGGTTCGAATCTAGTCGACGAACCCTTTTGCCTCTCTGCCAGCCATATGTTTCGGGGTGTAAGGCACGGCGGAGATAAGCTTCACCGATGCAGAAGCATCATCATTGGCTCAGATGGTAGAGCGCGCGCCAGGAACGCGGGTGGTTGTCGGTTCGAATACTGACCGCGAGGCTCATTTTTTCCAGTTAATAGTAATTTGCAGCGTGGGGACCCAAGGGTTAGGGCAAAAGACCAGGCGATACATGGGGAGGTGGACTTGACCGCCTACTCAGCAGCCCCCCCCCAATGCCAAAAAAAACAACAACAAAATGTTTGCCCCGACTAGGACTCGCGATACGGCAGATCAACACCCGTAAAGAAGGACTGAGTTTTGACTTCTACGTCTTCAGGAACAGGCGACAGCTGAGTGGCGAGCGCGCTGAGGTTGTGGTCCGGAAACCGTTGGCTGAGGGATCGAATCCCAGCCGCAGAACTTTTTTCCTGCTCTGCCTTGCAACGCAACATGCGCATCTCAGCTGTCTCTAACTCCCGAAGACATGATCAACAGAGCGGGAAAAAAGTTCCGCGCGGCGGGGATTCGATCCCAGGCCCGATGGTTCCCGGCCAACAGTCCAACGCGCTCGCCACTCGGCTGTCGGCTCTACTTGTGAGCGGAGAGTTTAGAACTCGGTCCTGCTTTACGAGTCTTAGTCTCCCGGATTGCACGCGTACAGGTCGGGTCAAGTCCACCTCCTCGACGCGCTGCAGCCCGGGTCGGCTCTTGGCCCGAAACACGGGAAAGGGCCTCTAAAAGAGCCCCCTGGGCGCACGAGGGTTAGGTTAGGTCCATTTATGTTCCTTATTCCGTGTTTTTGGCTAAAATCCGACCCGGGCTGCAGCGCGTCGAGGAGGTGGACTTGACCCGACCTGAACGCGTGCAAT